AGGCAGAGGCCAGTCTTACCCTTAAGCTCATCCTCACTCCAGGATTTTGCTCTGCATTCACACCTTAGCCTCTCTCCTTCCTCAGACAGGACAGCCTGGCCCTGTTCAGCCTAGGGGCTTCCACCCCTACTCCAGCTCACTCAGCCAAGAAAAAGGCTGCACCAGAACCCAAAGACCTTAGAAGGCAGAGCACAGTATAAATAACAATGATTTTTGTTACCTTTACTGTTACTTCTGTGTGTGGTTGTATAGCTTCTTGTGTCCTCTTTTCCTTATACACACAAGTGTCAGGGACACTTCTTAATGTCAGTATCATAAAACTAACCTATCTTCTTTGTGAGCCTCCTTTTTAAGCAGGCCCAGCTGTAGGGGTAGGGCTATGCAGACAGAGAGTGTCCTTTTGGGGCCCATCACACAGCCAAGACCCCTGCCATACTACCATGGTCCAATAGTCTAACACTACCATGCCAACTACCATGTCTCAGTTCAGTTCTGGGAGGGAGCAGGCCAGGGCTGAGGTAGAAACATGCAGACCCTGTGACTCTGCATAGAAGGGCTGACCCTAGCCCAAGACTCATTCTGTTGGGGGAGGTGGGACCCTTTTGACTTGGGAAACATAGGTACAGTGTGCTGGTGGCCGCCAACATGAGCCTACCATATGCATGTAAGACACAACGACACACTGGCTGTGGCTCATGCATTTAGTTGCATACATTCTCTGGCCTCAGTGGGGGTGACAGAGAGAGTCTTGGACCTGGGCACCTCTGCTGCTATAGCCACTCAGGCTTTCATCCCACCAGGGTTTACTGAGGCCTACTCTAAGCCCACTACCAGAATGGTGGCACAAGGACAAACATGGTCACTGCCCTTGAGGGCACAGATCAAGTAAGAAAACAAATGAGCAACTGAGGTGAAATCAGCACTGACAGGACACCCTGCAGCAGGCACAGAGGCAGGGCTAGGGAGTGTTTCAGCAGACAGGGAGGGTTTCCACTAGGAGAGACAGCAGCATACTGGCGTCTGGTACAGCTCCCTCTACATAAGGAGGATGGACCAGAGGGGAAGGCTAGGCACTGGAGGCCAGCAAGGAGGAACTAAAGGTTTCTGGTGTGTTTTGTGGGGTCTGTACCAGGGAGGTGGCTGGTGAGAAAAGGCAGAGTTGCCAACAATGTGGGGTGTGAGGGGGAGGGAGGGGCTCTCAGGGGTTTATTCACAAAGACTGGCCAGGGCCAGGGAGGAAGCAGGACTTCCGCCTGGATCCCACTGCATTTGGAGTGCACAGTAAAGAGGAAGCTGGACATAGAAGTCTGCACCTGAGCCTCAGTTTCCTCATGTGCAAAGGGGATGATGACCCAGAGGTCCAGGTAACAGGTGCTAGGCCCTCTCACTGCAGTACATCCTCGGCTCTAGCCTAAAGCAGCTTACTTCTCTGAGAGCCCCCAAACACCAGCAGGAGGGTCTTGAGGAGGGGCTGACACACCTTGGCCAAGCCCACAGTAGGGGTCAAAGCCCTGGAGCCATGGTGGGCAGGCCCAGATGAGCAGCTAGGATTGTGCTCCTAGCAATGGGCCCTGCATTTTCAGGGGTGTTTCAAGAAGTTTGAAGGAAACAGAGTGGGCAATGATTTCTTCCCATGTGTCCGTTGCCAGATTGACTTCTACGTAGGCCTTGGTCTCACTGGGGTTGTCTTTGTGGATCAGGGAGGATTTTTCAGATGACCATGATAGTGATGGTGAGACACGTGTCACAGGCATAACTGGGTAGGAGAGCTCCACTCCAGAGTGGGGAAACTGAGGTTCATGGAGGAAATGATGAGACAAAGGTCATTGGCTGCCTGCTGAGCTCAGAAGGGCTGGGACTGTGCCTCTGGACAGGAATGTAGGTCTGGGTGGCAGACCTTACACCAGGGTGGAGGTGATGGCCAGCTGGAGTTAGGGGCAGCCTGACCTCCGACACTCCCAATCCTTACTAAGGGCTCTGCCAGCCCACTCTCAACTGTCTCCCACTCAGGAACCCCAAGTTTTCCAAAATACAAGGAAGGTAAAGAATGTCTAAAACTAAGAGGTCAGGGGATGTCACAGCACTGAGGGGCCAGTGGGGACTGGAGGAGACCCTGGAGAGAGGGGGGACAAGACCCTTGAAGGGGCCACCTTGTCTTCCCCAAGCTTAGACTTGGAGACACCATAGGCAGACCTGTGCTTAGTCCATCCGTAATAGACCCCTGGGCCTTACAGTGTCTAGCACCTGCATGGACACTGCCCACCTGGCTTCCCCTTTCCCTGACAATGGAGGAATAGAAGCTTGGAGGAGGTGTGCCACTAAGGCCACCTTGGAGATTCTGATGCTAGATTAATCAAGACCACACCCTGGCTGGGGCTGGGACAGTGGCTTCGCTTCTGGGGGAAGACAGGGACTCATTCTCATTCTTTGCTTGCCCCAGGAGACCACTCTACCTCCACAGGTCCCATGGCCACTGCGGGCTGTCTTTACCAGAAGCTGGCTGTAAAATCCCCACCCAACAGGGAGGCTGCAGCACTCCACCCCTATGGGCAGCAGTATCTTTGTGTTTAGATCCTCAGCAATAAAGTGAACTCTCAACACTTCTTGGAGCCTCATATCTTATCACATAAGCTACCACCATGTAATAAAGCAGCACCCTCATGGGTGCCTTCTAGGAGGAGGGCCACCCCGTGCATAGCAGAGCTGTCTTGCTAGGGCTGTGACTATGTGCTGTTTCTGATGAATGCTGAAGAAGCACCGATCTCACATAGGGCGCTTCTAATTTCCATTGTGACTTTGTGGCAGTGTCATGCCTGCATGCATTCACACAAGCCTACTCGTGGCCAAGCAATGGACTGGGCCAGAATTCTGAAGCAGAAGCTATAGCAGGAGGGGCAGCCCCTGAAGGATCCTCCTAGGGTCTGGGCTTGGGTCCCCTGTGGACTATGTGCAGTAGACCTGGGCCAGGGCTGGGGCATCCACAGAAGTGCCCTCTCATCCTGGGTGGGCACTTGCTTCAGAATAAATGCCTCCTTTCTTTCCATTTGGCTCCAATGCCAACCTGCCGCCATGCACCACTTCCTTTTCCCTCCCCAACCACAGGGCCCTCTTAGTTATTCCAGGCAAGTGTCCTGGGCACCGCTCCCCCAAGAATTCCATTTTCTTTTCTCCTAAGCAAACAGAGAGGTGAGTGCACTGCCTGCCCTGTGTCCACACCAGCAAGTATTATTCAAATAATGTCTATGTTTCAGGAAAATCCTCTTAGGGAGATATGTGTTTTGTTAGCAGCCAGAAGTTTCATTTCTGATAAAACCATTTGTTTTCCTAGCAGATCTTTACACTTTAGAACATTTCTTCCAGTTGATTTGGCAAGAGTAGCTGTTTTCAGTGAGCCTGATAATATTTTCACCTGTGATTTAGAGTGGGAAAGTTGACTCTGGCCTGCATGCTTAGGGAGCATTTTGACAGAGTTCTGTTAGGATGGTGCCAGCAGTTTTCCCATCCCTTAGAGATACAGGCTTCTCTGGCTCCAGCAGACCCAGTGTGGGCTCTATCCTACCCACATCATCCTTCTGGAAGTCAGTCCTGCCCCTCTGCCCAAGTGCTGGCCCAGACAGACTTTCGGTGGGGTGGCTTCTACAGAGATGCCCCTTCCATTCTGTCACATTACCCAGTGCTGCTACCAAGGTGGGAAGCCTTCCTGAAGGCTTGGGGGAATGCAGCCACCAGGTTGTGGAGTGGTTATTGTGACAGACCGTGTGAGTAATGATGGGTGTTGTGGGAGGGGACTGAAGATGGTGAAGTTGGCAGGGCAGGGACAATACGGGTATGAATGATGACAATTGAGCAAAGGATGTGGATGGCAATGGGGGGATGTTGAAGATGATGGGGATGAAGAGGGTGCTGAAGGAAGAGGTGCTGATGGTACAGTTGGCTGGGCCACAGTGCTGCTGTCACTGCTCACCATGGGGCTGATGATGGAAATGGTGGAGCTAATGATGCGGCTGGGGGCCACATTGATGATAAAGGTGGCAGAGATGGTACTGGGGTAACTGCATATTGGGGTGGCCCAGCAGTTTTCTAGACATGATTTGCAGAGTTCAGGGAAGTGCTGGAAAAGGGATGGTGCAGGTGGCCACCTGCAGAATTAGGAGGTGCAACATTGCATCCCCAGGGGCAAGGGGCCTGCAGTGACTGGCCCAGAATCACACCCTGAGAGCCATGGAGCCATGTCGTTTAGCCCAAGATGTTCTTGTACTCATGAGCTGGGGAAGCGGAGGCCCAGGAAGCATGTGTGTGTCACTGCGCTGCTGTCAGGGAAGGCACGGGCAGGACTGGGCCCCTGAAGCTCCCTCTGGGAGTGGTCTGGAGGGTCTAAGCCTGAGTGGCCAGCCCCCAGACTCATGGAGGAGGGAGAGAAAGGCTCAGAGGAGGACAAGGCTGTTGAGCTTACACTACTAGCTGCCAACACTGCCCAGTGGGGTCTACAAGGAGTGCCTGGGATCACAGCCTCTAGGCACTGGGCCTCACTGGTGTAAACCGAGACGGTCCTAAAAGGGCTGAGACATCCCGCTGGGGAAGCTGAGGCCCCAGGAAGCACGTGTGTACCGCCGCGCCGCTGTCAGCGGAGGCACGGGGCAGGACCAGTGACCCCTGCTCTGCGCTGGGAACTGATCGCTGTGCAGACGCGCTCCCCGGCAGACGCGCTCGGCGCAGCTGCCGCAGCCCCAGGGCAATCTGGCAAGGGCAGGGGCGCGCCGCGCTCCACTCGCCATCGCCAAGGTGCCCCGGCTGCTGCTCGCTCCCGCCCCGCCCGCGCGCCTCTCCCGCGGGCCGCTGTCCGGCCTTGGCCGCCGGAGGGAGGAAGCGCTGTCCTTATTCCACCTCTGGCCGCCCCAGTGCCAAGTTGCTGGCGGCGGCGGCGGGAGTCCCGGCCCGGCGGGCAGCGGCCCGGGCGCGGCGCCCTCCCTGGAGCCCCCAGCGAGCTCAGGTTTACTCACGTAGAGTCCGGAGTGCTCGACGCCGAAGAACGGAAAGGGCACCGAGAGTGGCTGCAGCCCTGAGCCGCCGTCGTCCTGCTTGGGGGTGACGGCGTCGCCGTGCTCCTCGCCGAAGGGGTAGAAGTCTGAGAGGGACACCGCGCCACGCACCCCGCGCGCCCCAAACCCCAGGGCCACGGCCACCAGCAGCGCCCAGGCGGCGCCCGGCTGCATCGCCGGGGGTCTGCAGGCAGCACCGGCCGGGGACTGAGCAGCAGCCGCCGGACGCGAGGTCTCAGCGCGGGAGGGCAAGGCCACGAATGGGAGTGACCGGCAAGGCCAGGTGGTGTGTGCTAAGCGCGGACACGCCCGCCTCGGGGCCCGGGGCCGCGCCGTCGGTGCAGTGGGCTCAGCGTCCTGCTCTGCCCGGCAGCGCTGGCTCAGCTACCCCACAGAGGAAGGCGCCGGGCGGGACCGCGTTCGGGGCCGGCCCCGCCCCTGGGGCCGCGATTTAAATAGCCAGCCGGGCGGCCACTCGGCCGGGGCGGTGCCGGGGTGGGGCCATGCTAATCAGGCGGCTCTTAAAGAGCCAGGGCCTGCGGGTGGGTGCAGGTGTGTGGCGAGGCCCAGCGGCCTCCTGGCCAGAGCGCGGGCGAGGTGAGAGCTTCGCGGGCGCGCGCCCAGGACGGGGCCGTGCTCCTCCTGGGGACCCTGCACAGGTTCCCCAGACGTCAGCCTGACGAAGTAGTGTGTCGCGCGGACCTTTTCCCTAAGATCTGCGGAGATTTGGGCCAAGGTTAGACCAAGGAGCCCATCACCGCCCTGACAGAATGTTGTCAGTCGGGCCCATCCTGGTTGAACGTCACTTGGATAAAGCTCTCTCCAAGTGGCCAGAGGCCAGTCTCATGCTACCCCCATGCCAGCCCTGAGCATGGGTTCTGGCCACAGGACCAGGGTTTATGCAAAACTTCAAGGCATTAAACTGAAATGTTTTCATCCTACATGGCCACATCAGGGAACATTCCTGGGGAGGTTCAGGGGCCCAAGGGAGCATCATAGCAAGGAAATTCTTGGACAGAACCCTGGGCAGAGCAGGCCCTCCCTGGGGAAGACTGGTTTGTTCAGGCTCCAGGAAGCAGAAAGACGCTGGGCCGGGCAAGTGGGGCTGGGATTCAATGTCCCCAGCTGGTGGCTCTCCCAGTTCTTCTCCGTGTCTCTTGGGATACTCCCCTAGCGTACTGCTAAGTGTCTGTCCTTCTCTGGAGGCCCATTCTGGTCACCTCTGCGTCCCCAGGCCCACTGCAGGGCCTGACTCCTGGGGATCGGTCATCCCACCCTGTGCCAGGTAAGGTGTGAGGACTGCAGCCCCCAAAGAGAAGCAGAAAAGGCCAGGACGATAACAGCAGCTGCTGCCACTGCTGAGGTTCTGGGCGTTTCATGTTCAGTTTTGTGATTTTCTCCATTTTCTAAAGCGACTTGGAGGACGAGCTCCCATAGGATTGCAGTGAGCGCGAAGCAGTGAGAGAGATGGACATTATGTATTATTGTAGGAAGGGGGTTCTCCAAGTGAGTGAGACTGTGGGGTTACCGGTTTACACACGCTCAGTGCTTGGCGCCTTCCTTTTGATGTTCACAGCCCTGTGGCCAAGAATTTGGAGAGGTGCCCACTGACTGGGCGACACAGTCCTGACGCCCCTGAACTCAAACTCCTTGCAGTTTGCGCCGGACACCCACCCACCTGGGAGCCCTAACCCACAGGGTCCTGGACACCTCTGCATAGCAGGAAAGCCCGGAAAGGCCAAGGCAGCTGGCCAGGCTGGATGGGCTGTGCGTTGGCACCCACATGCGACTCACGCTCCACGTGCATGCCCACTTGCCACACTCTCGCACACTCACACCCACACTCTTTTACACTCTAACTTGCATACTCACATTCACACACTGTTACATCCACACACCGACACTCAACACACTAGCACACTTACATATTTACGCGCACTCCCACCCACACCTTGCTCACACTCAGCCACTCGTGTTAACTTGCACGCTTACATTGGCACACATACATTTACACTTTCAAACTCACTCGTTCAGTCACAAACATGCTAATGTGCACACTCCCACACTCACTTATACATTCTCGTTTTCATAGCTCTTTAGTATAGCCCTTGGATTGCTTTAACCCCTGCCTCACCACAGCTGTGCTGCCCCTCCTTGGGCAGGCAGGTGGCTCCCTGCATCTCACTGGCAAAGGCCAGGTGGAGTCAGGACAACTCCCCCCAACCTTGGCCCAGCCTGAGAGCAGATCTGCAGGGAGGCCTGGAGTCCAGGCCTCAGAGCAGGCGCCTACTCAGCACTGCTAACGTTCTGAGCATGTGCCTTGGGGCTCTAGTCAGGCCCTTTCTAGTAAGGGTTTGGGTCTACCCAGGGCCTGTGGAAGCATAGGGGTGCTCCACAGGTGCAGAGAGGAGGGCTGCTTCTCCAGGTGTGCTGGAGTGGGCACAGACAGGAGTCCTAACTGGCTACATAAAGGAGCCCTCTGGCTGTGGTGCCAGAGTGTCTGTGCTGCCCACAGGCCTGTGTCCTGTGCAGGTTTTCAGCTGGTCCTGGGCAGCTGGGGGTTAACACAAGGCCCCACTGCTGCAGGGCATTGCCTGTCATATACACACACACAAAAAACCCCACACACAAGTCCCCAGGCAAAAGAGAGAAAAAAAATTTTTTTTCAGGTGCTAAATATATTATCAGGAAATACTTTTCAGCAATGTGCTGTTTTAGGCTCCCCTCTGGACTCAAGGGCGCCTTTGTCTCTGCCACAGAAAATCCACATTTATCAAAACCAAAATTGTTTTATCAAGCAGGCTCATGTTCCGTGGCCAGGAAACCCAAGCCTCCCCAACAGGCCTGTGACATTTTAATTTAGCGCCTGAGTGTGTGTGCAATTTAGATGGAAGAGCCCTAGGAGCTGCCCTCAGGATGCCCCAGGACATGGGGCTCCATGTGGTCCAAGGTGGGGAGGGTCTTACCTCCCCTAAACCCTGGTGAGGCTGGTCCTGCTCAGCTGGTCCTCTCAGGGTAGGCACAGGGAAGGGCCAGGGGCTCCAGGTAGGGGCTGCACCCTACTCTGTGAGTTTCTCCTTTCCCTCCCAGAAGTATCTCTCGGAGCTCAGGCCCCTCTAGAGCAGCTGATCCTAATGTGGGCACAATCAGAAGCCCCAGCTCCAGGTAAACCTCCAGCGCTTCCAGGATGAGGTCGGAGAGGTCATAGGATCCAAGGGGCAGAAGAGCCAGGCTCCTGCAGAGGCAAGCCCACCCCACCCCACCTGTCCCTGCAGAACTAGGTGAGGCCTTGGTGCAGCTGGCCCACCAAGGCAGGTGGGGGTCTGTGCAGCCCATCCTATGCCTCCTCTCTATACACACACGGAGCCTGCACACACTGGGACATTGTGATGCATCTCTGCTATTGATTTCAGGGGGAAGGTCTGGGTTTCACTACTGCTTTATTTAGGGAAAACAGGGAGGAACTGGAAAAGCTGTTGCAGGTGGGCTCAGGCATGAGCTCCCAGCGTTCGGGGTGACCAGAGATCCCACCTTCTGCAGGCAATCTTGTCCATCTCCTCAAGTTCCCAGGACAGAGCCCATTTTCTGTGTGGCCCATGGCAGCCAGGGACAGTCCTCAGGGTGGACATTCAGGAGACCAGGTCCTTTGTGTGCCTGGAGCCTCACAGGCATTTTTAATGCTATAGAAAAGTCTAGCAGTATTATGGCAAGTAAGTCTTAAAAAGTAGTTATGCTCTTTCAGTAGTGTATGTGCCATGGCACCAGCTGTCCTGAGCACACGTGCTGGAAGAAGGAAATGCTGGTTTCACCTTCTCTGCACCATGTGGATTAGGTGTGGTGGTTACCTGTTTTATGTCCTTCTCAGCCCAAATAAGCAGTGTGCCTGATTGCAGCAGGCCCATTTCCTGCCCCAGCTATGATGTGGATCCTGTGCCCCCCATTGAGCAGGAGGTGCCCTGTGTTGCCAGGGGTGCCCCTGCAGCGCTTTCTGGGAGCCTTCCTCCTCTGCCTGCCCACTCCCCTCTGTGGCTTGCAGGCTATCCTTGAACAGCTGGGAAGGTTGGTGCCTTCCTGCTCAGAGGCTGAATGGGACCCTCCAGCACTCCTAGCATGTCTGAAATTCCTCAATCTCAAGAGTCTCCAGGGTGGCAGGAATCTAAAGATATTTGGTGTTCTGTCTCAGACAGGAGCTGAGCCCCACCTGCTTCCCAGCCTTGAGGATGTGTGCCGTGTGTGCATGAGTGTGAGTGCATGTGTGCTGTGTGCACACGTGTGTATGTGTGTGTGAGGATGCGCATGCATGGGGGACAGGGTATCTCCTGGGATTTAGAAGTCCTGGGTGGCTTTGTCCCCTCTGCCCACTGGGGTGGGGGGGAGAGGCAGGGGTCAGTCTATGGCAGCTTCCGAGGCTACCTGAGAAGCCACACAGGGCTTAGGATCTCCTGACACAAGTGCCTGTGTGACCCATGCTCTGTGAGGGGGCCCTGGTTGTCTGTCCCCTGCAGGGAGCAGGCCTGAGGGCCACCATCAGGTTCTCACTGACATTCAGAATCCCTGTGGTTCTAGAAAGAGACCCTGGGCCTCATCCTCTCCCTGGAAGAGCCCCAGATCAGTGCTGCCCCCACCATGCCTCCCTGAGCACCCTGGGCCTCCTGGGCTGGGAATGAGGCTGCTCTGTGGATCAGGGGGTGGCAGTAGGGGGAAAATGGCTGTGTGGAAGCCTCGGCAGCTAGCAGGTAATAGGGCTGCCCATTTGCTGGGTGCTTTTGGCCTCTGGTCATGGAGAGGATGCTCTGGGGCTGGGGTGACCCTGATTTACAGATGAGGAAACTGAACCCCAGAGAGCATGTCCAGGACCTTGGGGCTGGGGGAGGGCAGAGCTGGGACCCACTGGGCCTCTCCTGGTCAGGGCCTTCCTGTGTGTGTTGAGAGGGAGAAGCAGCCACGCCTCCTGCTTAGCTTTGGCAGGAAGGAAGATCAGCAGGAAATGGTCACTGCAGGGCACTAAGGGCCTTCCCCTCTGACTCTGGGGAGGATGCAGGGTAGAGTCAGGCCCCCTTGGCTCTCTCAGCCCCCAGGCCACTCCAGCTCTCCTCCCTTGGCCTCCCTTCTGTGGTGGTGGTGGTGGGGGTCCAGCACTCCTCTGCCCACATCCTCCAATTGGTAGGACCCTGTGCCTCCTGCCTCAATAGGACTGGGCCCTGCCTAGCTGAACAGCACTGATCTGGAAGCAAGGCTGCCCCTCACCTACAGACCAGGTGCCCTAAGGCTGCTGTGAGAACAAAGGGCGGGTCTTCTAAGCCCAGCCCACAGTTCTCAGTAATTGTTAGATTCTAAACCCAGTGACCACACA